TGTCCCTTTTTGACACTAAGAATGAAAAACGCTTTGTATTTTAATTTTAATTTCAGTATTTTAAAACAAAAATCAAATATCCACTCAATTCTTGCTTTTTTAATACCCGTTTCTAAAGTAAAAATCTAATGACCAAAAGATACACTGACCCAGCAGAAACCCATGTCTTCCTATGTCTGTGTGGTAGTTCTTCAAACACTGACTCCAGCTGCAGTCCACTCTTTGTGAATCTCCCCCACATTTTTGAATGGGTTTTGTTTCACAATCCTTTCCAGGGTGCAGTTATCCCGATTGCTTGTACATCTTTTTTTTACCAAATCATTTCCTTCCCTTCGCCTCTCTGTTAATGTGCTTGGACACGGAGCTCTGTGATCAGCCAGTTTCTTTAGCAATGACCTTTTGCCTTTCTCTMCTTGTGCAAGGTGTCATTGGTTGTCTTTTGGACAACTGTCAAATGAGCAGTCTTCTCCATGATTGTGTAACCTACAAAACTAGACTGAGAGACCATTTAAATGTCTTTGCATAACAATATGAACAACATGTTGCACAGTGCAGAGGCATCTTCTGCTGTTTTGGTTTAGCAGTGTAGGAAGGGCGACCACTCCAAAATGGCGACCATATTTCTTTCTGCCCAGAAGCCAGTGTGTGGTCTATTCTTATGTGTTCACAAAGATTTGCATGATGTCAAAGATACAAGCTGTAGAGGTGCAAGATTATAAAATGTTTGCAATTGGTTAAACTAAATGTAAGAGTTGCTTTAACTCTTCTGAAACTCCAGATAAAAAGATGTCACTGTTTTACTCCTGAATTCTCCAACATTAATGTGTTTTTTTTCTTCTTCTTTTTTTTTTTGTAAACCAGGGCTGGTCTAGTTGCTTGGAACTTACACCCACAAAAAAGCATATATACTTTAAAAAGAGCATAAAAAGCCCCCATGAGCTTGTCTAAATCTGTGTAACTATGGGGGAAACATCAAATTTCCTACACAAAGTAAGCCATCTCTTAAACCTTATAGATTACACAGCTGGTTAAGTAACAGCAATAAACAAGCGGGGGAGGCGGAAACCAGCTTCTCACCATAATGCYTCTGCTCTGAAGCTTAAATATAGACATGGATCAGTTTAGTGGTTGCTTTTAACCCTGATTAATTTTCCCCACAGTCCAATATGAAAAAAACATGAAGTCAGCACACATTCTATAAGTGCTGCAGTAAGCTTTGACTGGACTCAAACACTGGCTGAAAAAATACAATGGTTTGTTCTGTGTACAGTTTGAGATTAATAATTTTATCAGCCACCACTGAAAGGCAAAGGCAGGGGAAGTATTTTCTTTTTTGCTTTTTTTGGTCAGTGTGTCTGTCAGCAAAACATTACATGAACCAGTAAAAGATTTCTGATGACACTTTCAGAAAGTAATCATTAAATGTATGTACCATTTAGAGTCAAACCAATACAACATGACTGCCAAAGCTAACCTCAAGAAATACTAAAATGAGTCTAACTGTTAATTTTACAGATAGAAACTCAAATTTGTTGTGGCAGCAGCTGAAACTGATYGCCAACACATATTCTGAGTTCTAAAAAATTTAACAGAATATTTGCATTGTTTGGGTGATGGTTTGGTTGTTAGCAAAATATCTCTTGGATCACTATACCGATTTTATTTAAATTTAAAGGACATAATTATTTAATATACATCTAAAACTGATTTATTTTTAGAAGCCAAGCAAATTAAAGATGGGCAACGCAGCCAGTTGAATTTAGAAAACATAAAAATAGCTACTATACTGGTGATTAAAAGTCCGCTGAAAGTGGATGTATGATGGTATAAGCTCCATAAGTTTGTAAATTTTCTCTTGTCATGCCCATAATTTCTGATCCGCTCAAGATAATTTAATGAAACTTGTTACATGTATTCATCATCACTATGCGGAGTGCTGCATACACTCTTCATTAACCCAACTTCAAGGTCAAATGTTTTACAAGGTTTTTGCTTGTCCCGGCGTTTAACTATAAATAGCCGTATAATAGTCTGTTGATTGGCAATGAATGTTCTGCATGCGGTACTCTTGGTTTTACCCAGTTTTTTATTTTAAGTTTTAAATTTTATACAAATAAAACAGACATATTAAACATAATATTATGGGTATTACAGTATAAAATCACCTCATTTTTTCTCCATGTGTCAAGGTAAAGTGTCTTATTATTCAAGACGTTGTTCATACATAATCCATTTTTCCCAGGGTTCAACAAAGTTCTCCAGTTCGTGTCTTAATACAAAAGTCCATCTCTCCTTATAATAAATTTCTTTCACAATCTCACACCACTGGTGTAATGCTAGAGGGTCAGCTCAATGCCAACTATGAGTTATAGGTTTCCTGATACTTGCCTGGAGAATCTTTAAAGGGAACATATAATGCAAAATCCACATTTGTTAAATACATTTTTGTTGTGTACTTGGAGTCTCTGGGAGTGTAGAAACCTTTAATTTAGTCTCTTCCACTGTTGCAAAGATATTTTATATACTTTCTGGGTCATATTTATCAAACCATTCAGTTTTCTTTATTTTATATGATGTTTTCTGAAACATTACRTCAAATTATTTAAAACAGAACTTCCAAATGAGGTAAGGACTTACCAACTACTATTTTGTTGTCTTAATTCTCCTCTCACTCTGGGTCAGACTGCGATTTGAAAATAAAATGTTTCTGCTCTGTTAGATAGATGTTCTATCAAACTAGAATGAACCAGTCTGGAAGCTGGAGGGGGACGGGGTGTAAAGTGCCTCGTTTGGATTTAGATACTGCATCAAACATCGCATTCTTACTCCTGACTCGTCAACATGACTCTTGGTAAGGTACAATCTGCATCCAGTTTTGGATGCATTGGGTACCGCCGTCGCGTCAGTCATTGACGCCTGCGGCTTTTCCAGGTTGCGCCACATAGGGGTCTTTGGGTTGCGGGTCTGTGGTTAATATGAGGGATCAGGATTACTGGTTAATTTTAGGTACTGAGGTCAGAGATAGGATGTATATGGCTAATAGAAGTTAAATTTGGGGTCTGGGATGGTTAGTTCTCACGCATTTTCTACTCTTTCAAAAATGGTTAATATGAGGGATCAGGGTTAATGATACTGAGGTCAAGGATAGGATGTCTAGGGCTAATAGGATTTAAATTTAGGGTCTGGGATGGTTAGTTGGTGTGCATTTCCTACTCTTTACAAAAGTATGACAACGCAGTCCTCCTTCTCCATCTCATCTCGTTAATAATTGACGCGAGGAGGGTACCCAACGCGTCCAAAACTGGACGCAGACAGTACCTGCCTAAGCGTCAATATGTGACAAGTTGGGAGTGAGAATGGGTTGCATCAAAACAAGATGATCTGAGGCACACCTCAGAAAAGGGAAGAAAGAGTGTGGAGTTACAATAAGGAGGAATTCAGATAAAAGCATATTTCCAGCATTGTTCCACTTTAGACCCCAACTGAATGATTTAAGTGTGAGAAAAAAAGTGTTTAAAAGTATATGTGTCTTAATATTTGTTTGTGTCACCATTTCAAACATTTTATTCGGATATAAGGTGGTTAAAGAGTAGTACAATCTCAATTGCAATATCTTTTTTTTATTTATTAGCCACTTCCTTCCAGTAAGATAGATTTTTTGGTCATCCCCAGAAGATGTAAAATGGTTTGCCAAAGAGGCTCCACAGTCTCCAACAAAGACCCAGATTCTGCGAGCCTAATTGCAGTGTTATTTTGGGAGCAGTGAAAAACCTTCCAACTTTCTTCCAGTCAAAAACCCCTCAAAGTTTCACATATCCCCATCTAATCTGAAATTTGTGTATCAGACTCCTTTTACAATTTTTGTTTGCTATATATTGTAGAATGGCTTTTACAGTTTTTTATACCATAGAAATATGTTTTACGTATATTGGGCTAAAAGTTGATGTGGTAGTTGCGGAGTCATTCACAGCACATAATGAATGTTACATTTTGCCATATTGCATAGGTTCATACATAAATTTACTTTCAAAAGTTGACCAAAATCACTGCAGCTCAGACATTTCTTAAAATAAGTTTTTAATCTGAAACTCTGGCATGATGGACTGTGAGCTATGGACTTTTAGTAAGAACCCTTGAAAGATGTTTATAGGTTTTTATTATGACCCCCGCACGCGAAGCGTAAGTGGGGGTCATATTGTTTTCGTACTGTATTTTTTTTTTTTTTGTTCAGAGATTTTTGGTCAACCGTAGCACAAAAACGGCTGAACCGATCAACATGAAATTTGGCAGGGCTGTAGATGAGTCTGACCTACACTRCACCAGCCAACGGTTTTACAATAGACCCCATATTTGAGGAAGGGGCTCCATCCAAAGAGAGGGTGTTTGGACATGCAAAAATGCTAATAACTCAGAAATTGCTCAACATAGGAGCTTCAGATTTCTTTTGTTGTTTAGCTCTGATGAAGCTCTATCCWTCAGGCCCACCAATCAGTGCCTCCCCACCATAGACCCCCGATTTATCTGAAAAAGTTGTCTGGACATGCAAAAATGGTTATTGCTCAAAAACTATTAAACATAGGAGATTCAGATTTCTTTTGTTGTTTAGCTCTGATGAGGGTTTATCCATCAGGTCCACCAATCAGTGCCCCGCCCCCTCGGACCCCCAATTTATCTGAAAGAGGGATGTCTGAACATGCAAAAAATGCTTATRACTCAGAAACTGTTCAACATAGGAGCTTCAGAATTCTTTTGTTGTTTAGCTGTGATGATGGGCTATCAGGTCCAATGCCCCCACCCCCCACCCAAAAAAAGACCCCCACCCAAACCACTACAATTTTGGGATGCACCTAGTACCATGACATTTATTAGGAATAAAGACTTCTGAGTTCTGGTGCATTTGTGCGTGCGGGGTCATTATGTTCCCACTATGCGGTATCTGGTTTGGTGCTGAGATTCTCTACATTATTGATGTTACCTGTGTCTACTTTCTGTCTGTGCAGGAAAGGGCAGCAGCTGGAGCCATCGGAGAAATACATTTTCAACAGGTTGGAAGGTGGGCGCAGTATGCTGACAGTCCGCAACATTCGACAGGTTGATGGAGGAAGTTACTCCTGCAAGGCTACCAACAAGGCAGGCTCTCAGGAAAGAGAGCTCTTCCTCAATGTGTTTGGTAAGAATGTTAACTTTTATTGAAACATAATTTTGATGGTAATTGAAGGTCATTTCTACCAGCGTATGGAAGCTGTAGGAGAAATATCCCACATCTTGCATTGCCTTTATAACTTTTTTTGTCCAATCAAAATCAAAACCAACCCTAAAGATTTATTGTTTTTTCATTTTCCATTATCTTGTGCCAGTCCTGAACTTCCACCTTTAACAACATTGTCCATTACATTGGACAGTTTTTATGTTGATCCATAAACTTTATTGTGACCACATTCACAATTCCTATTCCACAAAAAAAACAAAAAAACTGTTTTTCAGGAGCATCAGCGTTCAAATATAGCCCTCAGCCCACACTAATAACAGCTGCATCCCTGGTATAAATTTATCCTGAATGGAAAGATTTCATTTATTGCTTCATATTTCTTTTGCTGCACCTTTCATAAAAAAATTCAATTTATATTTGCATAAACCTGCTGGCTGTGTCCTCACAGATCCATCTGATCTTCCTCCCATGAAAATATATATACAGTAAGGAGAACTTTGCTCTAGTCATCAGTGCCCTTTCAAGAGGTGCGTAGTGCTTGTTCTTCAAAATGCACATTTAAATGAAGGTGTTAAAGCAGGTAGAGAAGAGCTCTCCTTTTGTATGGAAGGGTGGGTGCATATAGCTGTATKTTAGTTTTATTACTCCAGACAGCAAAGGTGGAATAAAAACTGGGTATTTATTGTAAATTAGTGAAATTCTGTGTAGGTGTGCGTGCTCTTTTAGACCACATGTTGCAAATTTAAGGCCAAATGGGGCCCGTGGGTGACTCTTGTGTGGCCTGCCAGGGGTGGAC